TTTCAATAAATACAAATAAAAAAATTTTTTAACGAAAACCAATAAAATATTTTACATCAAAAAAATTCTGCAAATTATTGAATTAATTTAAAACAAAGTTTTAAAGGCTTTTTTCGTACAAAATAACTTTGATTATAAATTTAATTAAAATTATTAAGGACTTAGTAAATCTTTTTATTGACAACAAAAAAAAAGATATTTAAGAAATATCTTAAACATTTTTTATTTACTAGTTAAAGTGCAAAAATACCAATTCATTGTAAATTTCTTTTAAATTCAATTAATCAAAAGAGGTTAGAAAAAGTTTTTAACACATTTTAAAAAAAATATTTTTTTAAAATTTACCCATGTCAACTCTTTTACTATTTTTATTTAAACAAATTCTTTCAACACAAGAAGAACCTCTTAATCTTTGTTTAAAAGATCAAAATAAAATTAACTTGAACAATTTACCCAATATCTATAACCAAGCCGTAGATTTAATAGACACAAAAATCGACTCTCTTGATGATAAAATTTATGATATTATTATGAGTCACGATTTTGGCAAAGAAACAAATGACAAAATTAAGATGCAATTAGAATATTTCAAAAATATTCTAAATTCATTTAAAGATGAGGTAGGTGAAATTTATAAAAATAATAAAAATATTTCTGTATTAGAAGCACTGTGTAAGATTGAAATTACTTGGAGAGTATATAATGATGAGCCAGTTTTGAGTAAAGAAAGTGTTGATAAATACTATAAATCAATTTATATGAATATTATTGAAGAATTGAGAAAATTTTTCATTTCACAAGAATAAAACTATTGTTTTATATCTAAAAAAAGTAAAATATTTTTTCATAAATTCTTTAAAAGCATTTGATAATATATTTTAGTTTACGAGAGTAAGAAAAAAGTTTTGTTTAATAAAATATCAAATTAAAATATTACTGTTGTATTTCAATTAAATTTTGTAAAAATCTTTTATATAAAATGCTTTTAACTGATTTTTTTCATAATGACCTTAATTTAACTGTGATATCCTACCTAATTCTCTTATGTATTAATTGTTCATACTTCTTGTGCTGTGAAATAAAGGCGACAAAATCTGTCTTGCTCGTCAGCCTTCCAAGTGATAAAAAAATATAGAACAATTACTAATCAGCTTCCGATTTGAAACAAAATTTTTTTGAGGGGATTTAGATAAAAAATTATGTCTTCATTTTTTTCACAAACAAAATTTTAAAAAAACAAAAAAATATTTTTTAACACAAAATAATATGATTCCTTTACATCTCATACCTCAGAAATGATTTTAAATTTACGATATACAACAATAACTTTTACTAAGTAAAGCGGTTAGATTACTTAGATATATTAATGATCTAAATTTAGAGATGAATGTGAGAAACTTTAAACTTAGTAAATCTTTTAATTATTAAAATAAGTGATTTCTAAATATAATTTTATTTTTTTCAAATAATCATTTATTTAATCTATTGGATTTAAATAAAAAAATTTTGTATTCTATGATGAACGAGATAAGAATGTTTAGGAAAAAAAAGAACCTTGAATTTAAGTTATTTGAAAAAATTTTTTTTTCTTACTGCCAGGGATAAGTTCATCAACAATAAAAAGCATTAAAGTTTAAATTAATATCTTTTTGTTATTTCATTTATTTATCTGTAATATTGTCTTAACTTTTTAAGTGAATAAAACTTTAACTCCTTTTTTAATTGTTTTAAATTTTTGAATGATAATTGATATTTAATTTTTATTAAGATTAATAATCAAAATAAAATTTATAAATAAATGTTTTATTTACAAAGATCATTTGATAAAATAAATTATAATATTAATTTTAACAAAAAAGTGTATTTTTTATTATTATACTCATTTTAAAAATAAATATTGTTGTTTAATTTATAAACTAGTTTTTTAAACCAGTGTTTGATTAAATTTAAAATATAAATTTTACTTTTTAAGAATATTTATAAAATATTATGTTCTATTAAAGTAGTGTATAAAATTACTTGTATCTTAACTTATTCTTAAGATTTATATTTAATTTATTTTAATATTTTACATTTTAACAAAATATTTTAAAGAATAAAACTAAACATTATTTTTAATAAAAAAAAAATTAAGAATAGTGGTGTACTCAAAACAAATATTTATTTTTAAAAATTAGACTAAAAATGATTATATTTTATTTAAATGAAATAAACATTCTATTTAAATAAAAATTAAAATGTAAGATAAACTTGCATAGTCAATAAAAAATAAATTTAATTTGTGGTAAGTTTTATTTTTCTAAAAAATAAAATCATAAATAAAAGATTATAAAAAAATTTAAATTTAAGTATAACTTATAAGAATGTAAATTATTTTTGATAAAATACTAAGAAAGTGATTTATTTTGTTTTTTTTAAATTTTTTTATAAGTTAAAAAATAAATAATCTATTAAAAAAAACAAATTGATATTTTTTCTAAAAAATAAAACATTTTCTAAAAAAAACTTTAGAAAATGTTTTATTTATTTATTAATGTTTATTACACCTAATATTAAAAAAAAATTATAAACTGTCTTTACTAAATAATTAAATGTTGTTTTTGTAATTTAACTCAGAAAAAAAGGAGGATGATAAAAAAATATAAATTTAATTATAATTTTGATTAAAAATATAAATTTAATTATTTTACTTTTTTATCATTAAAAATGAAATTATAAGATTTTTCTTTAAAAATATTACCTAAAGAAAAGGTATTTTATTAAATTACCATAATAAAAAGAGTAAATTAGTTAAATTTATATTTTTAATCAAAACAAAGTTAAATTTTTAATCAAAATTTCCTTTTGATAAATTAAAGGATTATCAAAAACTTTCTTATCAAAACAATCAAACTATTTAAATCATTAAAAAAAAGAACCCTCAATGAAAAAGTATACAAACTTAACTTGGACAAACTTATCAGCACAAACAAACAAAAAAAATTTACTAAAAAATATCAGTGGCACAGCTTATGCTTCAAAAATACATGCCATAATGGGTAACACTTCAAGTGGTAAATCAACTTTACTAAACATGTTATCCGGTATAGTCCCACCAAACTTACACACTTATGGTGAGATAAAATTGGATTCTTCAAACGTGCCTTCTGATTTTGTTTTTTTCGCACCGTTACTACCAACTGATTACATCGATTTACGTACAAAAGTTAATAATTTTTTAACTTATTCACAGCTAAGTTATTTAAAATTGATCGGATTGGAATCCAAATCAACTGTCAAACTAAGCGAATTATCAGAATGTGAATTTAAATTGGTAAAATTGATTTCTAATTTTGATAACCAAATTTTATTTCTTGATGATCCTTTTTCACAATTAGATATTCAACATTCAATAAATTTGATCAAATTGATCAAAAAAATTACCAAAGAAAAAGAGTTGATCACAATTATCACAAGAAATGAAAATTTTGAAAAGATTAACCAGTTTATTGACAGTGTAACTTATTTAAATGATGGTAATTTGGTATTTGCAGGAGAGATAGCTGATTTAATCACTGATTCACAAATCCAAACTAAAGAAGATCCCCTCAACACACTCATAATTTATCACCAAAAGAATTATGAACCAAAAAAAGAAGAAGTTAATTTTACTAACCAAATAAAATCAAGCAAAAAATACTCCAACTATTCACTAAACATATCAAACATATTTTATCTCATAAAAAATTACTCAATCAATGGTATAAAATCACTTAACTTACTAACCCTAATATTCTATTTATCAGCAATATTAATTTATTTATCATCATCAATTTACATAAATGATTTAAAAGATCACATATTAGAATTTATGAAAAAAAAAACAATTTTTCTTTTTTTATTTATTTATCTACTTTTACAATGGCATTTATTATTCTAATAATAAATTTATTAATCGTGCCAAGGATCAAAGATTCATTTTTCAAAAACACTATTTTTTTACAAACCATGTACAAAAAAGGAAAAATAAGTTTAACAGACCAAATACTTTCATCTTTTTTTATAAGCCATTTTATTGTTTTTTTATTGGTAACAATCATTTTAATTCCCATTTCTTTTACCAATTATTATTTATTTTTATTTCTTTTATTTTTCTATCTTTCTTTTAATTTTTTTATTTGTTTATTTGTTTATTTTGAATCTTTTTTATTTAATTATTTTTTAAGTTTAGTTTATTTTTTGATTATTTTAGCTTTGTTGTTAACAGTTGATTTTACTTTCATTCCTTTTTTAGAAAAGTATCAGTTTAAGTTGGAAATGATTGGCACTTTTTTGAAGAGTTTTCCTTATTTTAATTTGTTGATTTATTTTTTGTCATGGTTGTACACTTCTTTTGATAGTAAAAAAGAGTTTGGTCAGTTAGAATTATTTAGATTGAATTGGTATGGTAGGAATGAAATGTTTAGTTTTAGTGATAAGTATTTTTATTTGTTTGTTGGGGTGATTGTTTTTTATTCTTTGTTTATTATTTTTTATGGGTTTATGTGTGTGAAAAGTAAAATGAATTTATTTTACAGGTATAAATTGAAGAAATAAAAATCATTTCATTTTATTTTTACATAATTAAAAATATTATATATTCATAAATTAAAAATATTATATATTCATAAATTAAAAATATTATATTTTTTTCAGTTTAATGCTGTTAAAATATTATATTATGAAATACGGTTAAAATATTATTTTAATTTTATTAAAGAGTATCTGAATAATAAAATAAGATATAATCTTTTATTATTTAAAATTCTTTCTCTTTTAGACATGGATTAGAAACCTTAATTTTCTATTTTTTTTTTTGAATAAAAATACCCATGTCTAATAAAAAAAAATTTTAAATAATAAAAGATTTTATACACTTATGATTTAGGTCATATCCTTCAGGATAGACAGTATTTTATATTAAATAAAAATAACGATAATCAAATTAAAGTATTACTGAATATTTATTAATTTAGTAAAAATGGTGCGAGAGGGATTCGAACCCCCGGTTAACTGGAACCTAGACCCAGCGCCTTAACCCCTCGGCCATCGCACCTTTTAGTCTTTACTATGTAGTTATAAAAATTAAAATATATTTTCTATGATTTACTACTTTAATTTTTTAATAAGTTTACATTTAATATTTTTTTAAATTCATTTTAAAAAGAATTTTCTTTTTATAAATTATTTTACTAATCTTTCTAATTTTATAAGTATGTCTTATATATTTGTTTCTGGCTTATGTTAAAAGGTATGTATATTCTTATACCCTGATAATTTATAAAGATATTTAAAATTCTCATTTATTTATTATTTTTTTTAAATTTTAATATAAATATAACAGAAGATGAGAATTAATAAGATAAAAAATAAAAATAATCAGGATAGAATTAAATTTTTACACTTTTACACTTAAAATTAATAAAAATAACGTGGGTTCAGGCTTTCAATCATTTGTTTTGCGTGATATTTTTGAGATCTAAATAGATTATTCAATATTTTGAATTAAATACACAAAGTATCGAAAAATTTTGAACCAAGTTGTATGTTTGAATTTTAAAATTTTTAATCAAAATAATATATTTGACCCCTAAATCTCTCAAAGTCTCATTACTTAAATGATAATTTGTTGAAAAAAATTCAAAACCCTACTTATATTACAAAAAATGAAAAAAATTCAAATTTTATTAGGCGACTGACAAAAAATAAGTTATTTGTATGTAAATATTTAATTTTACATTATAAAAAATCATGAAAATTCATTTACTTTATATTTTGCGATAATAATATTGATAAAAGCAAATTAATTTATTAAAGTCTTAAAGCATATATACTTTTTTTATTGTATATATTCTTATATTTTAAAATAAAACCTAATTTATTACTAAAATATTCAAAATAAAGAAACAAAAATTTTAAACTCGTTTGCTAAATAAAGAAATTTTTTAATTTTTTTTTCTGAGTTTTAATTTCTTTATTAATCAATTTTAAATATAAAGAAAAGAAATTAAATTTTTTTTAAACGATAAATATTTTTTTTTACCTTTTAATCAAACTTAAGTTAAGCTAGAGTAGTAACAGTTGACTCAGGATCATGCTTGACCTCGGGATTTTCCGAATTTTTTTGATCCTCATCGCCATTTTCTTTAGATAAACTGTCAAGGTTAGAAGATTTCGTTTCCTTAGAAATAAGATTTTCTTGAGAATCTTCACCTAAATTTTTCAAATTTTCTGAAGACGATATGTTTCGGATGAGATCACTCAATTTATCTGCAAAGCTATCTGAAGAAGATGATTCACTAGAAGATGATTCACTAGAAGTATATCGTTTTTTCATATCTGACGTAAATAATTTTTTTTTCTCTTTCTCGTCGGCTTTCTCTTTTTTATCAGTTGCTTCTGATGTTTTTGGGTTTTTATTTGAGTTTTCAGTTGTAACTTTTTCTTGGTTTGAAGCAGAATCCATTCCGTAACGACGTAAAATGCAGTCTAAAAATAAAGAAGGAATGGCTGGACTATTTCTTTGGATCAAAAAAACACTTTTATAAGGTGATTGAGAATCATCATCATGTTTTTTGTCTTTAGCTGCACGATCTTTAGGTAATAGAGGGGATGTTTTACGATCAAAGCTGTCTTC